CCGTCACAGCGGTACTCCATCATGAACAGCTGGGGTTCGTCCGGCAGCGCCACTCTCAACCACGGCGTGGATGCCTCCACCCCCAGACGCCACCAGTCAGCCGCCCTCGACGACGCCGCCACCACCGACTCCTCCTCCTCCTCCTCCAGGAAGAAGTCGAGGAAGAAACTCGAAGATGTTCTTCACCTGGAGGAGACGTACCGCCTCCGTCCCGAGGACCACCAAGACCTGGAACACGTCAGGGTGTGAGTACCGTGAGAATATTTTTTTGTTTACGTTTTGTGATTTCCAGTGTTATAAGCTGGTGTTGTTAGCGTTAATTATTCGTTGACACTTGGGGTCAGATTTACCTGGATTTACCTGAGGGCCATCATCTCTAATGACCTCGATTAGGGACAGGAAACCGGCGGTCTGTCACGGGACACCCCCACAGCTTGTCCATTAATTTTGAGGATACATGCTCTTGGGTATCGCTTTTAGCTTTGAATACACACAGGAATATTATAATATATATATATATATATATATATATATATATATATATATATATATATTTATATATATATATATATATATATATATATATATATATATATATATATAATGTGTGTGTGTGTAATATAGTGTGTTTTCACAGGGTATCACCAATATCAAGCGTAAAATATAAGCAAAGAAGGGGAGGAAGGTAGAGGGGGAGGGAGGGAGGGTGATAGAGAAAGGTTGACAAGACAAACTCACTCTAGAGAGAGGGAGCGAGAGACGACGCAGTATCAGCACCCTCTCAGAGATGGCGCCTCATTTCTGATGCACTTAGAGGATCATTATATCCAACAAGTACAACCTTAAGGGGAAAAATCTCCCCTCTGTCCCACAGTTTCCCCTCCTTCCATCCTACCTTTACTTTCTGCGTGGCACCCTGCCCCCCCCCCCCCTGCGTGGCACCCTGACCCCCCCCTGCGTGGCACCCTGCCCCCCCCCTTGCGTGGCAACCTGGTCCCCCCTACATGGCACCCTGCCCCCCCTGCGTGGCACCCTGCCCCCCTGAGTGGCACCCTGCCCCCCCTGCGTGGCACCCTGACCCCCCCCCTTCGTGGCACCCTGCCCCCCCCCTGCGTGGCACCCTGCCCCCCCCCCCTGCGTGGCACCCTGCCCCCCCCCCTGCGTGGCAACCTGGTCCCCCCTACATGGCACCCTGCCCCCCTGCGTGGCACCCTGCCCCCCCTGAGTGGCACCCTGCCCCCCCTGCGTGGCACCCTGGACGGCACCCTGGCCCCCCTGCGTGGCACCCTGGCCCCCCTGCGTGGCACCCTGCCCCCCCCTGCGTGGCACCCTGCCCCCCCCTGCGTGGCACCCTGGCCCTCTGCGTGGCACCCTGGCCCTCTGCGTGGCACCCTGGCCCTCTGCGTGGCACCCTGGCCCCCTCTGCGTGGCCCCCTGACCCCCCCAGTGTGGCACCATCCATCTCCCTCAGACGCTATTCCCAGGGACAAGGAGAGTGCCAAGGAATTAGTGGCACTTGTACCCTGACGCCGGGGGCTGGCGGGCAGGTTGGGCAAGGTCAGTCAGACGAGGTGGTCAATGCTCACACTGTCTTCTCTGTGTGGAGGAGGAGGAAGCGGTGATGTGCAGTGTGCATCTTACAATATATAGATGGGGTTGGTCATGGTTGGGGGGTGTGGAGGGGGGAGGGGGGCTTATATTGGTGATACAGCAACCCCGCCCCCCTTAACTAATAGGTCGCTTTTTGTACGTTGCAATATGTTGAATCTAGTACTCTACGGGCTCACCATAGCCTGTGCTACTTGGTACTTCTTGTTTCAGGTAGCGAATCTTTAACAACAACAACAACAACATTGAATCTAGTCCTCTCTGTCTTGCAAATATTAACGTTTTCTCCGTAGCGGATTAGTTACGTTACTTGCTAAAAGTTTTTTGTTTTGTTTTTGTTACGGAGTGACACATGGAGAGAGCAGGCGGGATACAGTTGCTTGTAGCTGCATGATACAGCTTGTAGATTACAGCTTCAAGATGCTGTAGCGAGCATCTTAGACAAAGTCTTGATAAACACACACACACACACACACACACACACCTCACTCACTCACTCACTCACTCACTCACTCACTCACTCACTCACTCACTCACTCACTCACTCACTCACTCACTCACTCACTCTCCCGCTCCCTCCCTCCCCCCTCCCCTAAGCGTGACCCTGGTGGTGGGTGGGTGGGGGTGTGTGTGTGTGTGTGTGTGTGTGTGTGTGTGTGTGTGTGTGTGTGTGTGTGTGTCACGTGACCGTGACGACATGCCAGCTGCAAGACAACAGGAAAAGTTTGTGGACATTTCCATCAGGTTGTGACAGCAGTGCGGAGTGCACAACAGTTGGGTTGATTGTCGTTAAACAGTGCTGTGGTCTCATTGGCATTTGACGTATTACGCCATTTTTGTTATATGTAGATTCAATATACAGTGATAATAGAAGAAATATTAATAAAAGTATATAATGATTAATGTAATTGATCATTATATCCATTAATCATTACACACACCACACACACACACACACACACACACACACACACACACACACACACACACACACACACACACACACACACACACACACACACACACACACACACAAAGTTGCGTCAGAGTTGGTGGACTGTAGGTGTAACTACTGAGGTTATCTTGAGATGATTTCGGGGCTTAGTGTCCCCGCGGCCCGGTCCTCGACCAGGTCTCCACCCCTAGGAAGCAGCCCGTGACAGCTGACTAACTCCCATTTATTTACTGCTAGGTAACAGGGGCATCAGGGTGAAGGAAACTCTGCTCATTGTTTCTCGTCGGCGCCCGGGATCGAATCCGGGAGCACCGGATCACGCGTCCAGTGTTCTGTCCGCTCAGCCACCGGCTCCCCCGATGTAGTTTTTTTTTGGTGTAGTTATTTGAGTTAAAGTTTTCGTATCTCACATCCCTTTGTGTTGATAATGGGCTAATGGTGTCTCCGGAGCCTGCATCCCTTCATTAGCTATCCCACACAACCCCCCTTATCCACCTTCCCACACCCCCCCTTATCCACCTTCCCACACCCCCCCTATCCACTTTCCCACAGCCCCCCCTTATCCACCTTCCCACAGCCCCCCCTTATCCACTTTCCCACACCCCCCTCTTATCCACCTTCCCCCCCCCCCTTATCCACCTTCCCCCCCCCCCTTATCCACCTCCCCCCCTCACAGGCGAGCATCAAGAGACCAATCAACAATCCTTTGCGGTGTACCACTCAATAGTTTCCGCCCGCCCAAAAATCCACGCAGCCGTCGTTCTGTACACAAGTCGAAAATCCGACACTGCCAGTTCGTCAGCTAGCAAGTCAAGAGTAGTCTAAATTTGCGTCGAGTCTGTAATCCATTTCAAGTCTGTTTTTTTTTTTTGTTTGGTCATGTGCGTTTTCCTGTATTGGAGGCACTTGCCTGTCGGTGACGACGCTGAGGTGAGGGCTTAAGCTCCTGGGGCCCCGCTTAAGAGCTCTGTACCTGTTGTGTTTTAATTCTGGCGTTTGAATTATATGTTTAGTTTGACCGGTGGTGTGTCGTGTCGTGGAGGGGGAGTAGCGAGGAGGGACGTGCAGTGTCTTGTGGGAGAGAGAGAGGAAGGGAGTGGGAGAGGGAGGGGGAGGGAAGGGGGGTAAGAAGGGGGCATAAAGTAGCGTGACTGGTCTAAGATGTTGCTTTGTCAGCATGACAATGAGTAAGGTGGGGAACCCTCGCCTCACTCACTAACTCACCGGCTGCCGCCTAATTCTCACTACAGAGGGAGTGAGGTCTCTAGTTATTATTCCTCGCCATCTACCTGTATTTTTTTTTTGTTTTAACTCGTGTAGGAGTTTCGTTGTATCTGTCCCTCTAAGTTGTAGATGGAGGTGGTTTCCACGACTTCTTTTTTCAATGCCAGCCACACAGGGGGTTACCTTGAGGTGCTTCCGGGGCTTAGCGTCCCCGCGGCCCGGTCGTCGACCAGGGTACTCCTGGGGTACGAGCATTTCCTTATATTTCTTCGAGTCGTTTGTGTATCCAGCTCCCGCCTCTGTTTTATGTCTCCTTAAAGAGGCTCTTGAAGAGGCTTTAAAGAGGAAGCTAAAGAGGCTCCTTAAAGAGGCTCCTTAAAGAGGCTTTTTAAGACGGCCACTGTGTCTCCCCCCCCCCCTTCGGTATCTTGGGTAGATCTGCGGTCTTGAGTGTTTTAATTGAAGTACAGTTAAGGGAGCAAGGCATCCCTTGCTGGGGCCTCGCCTCCAGTAGCCACAAGTGACAGTGTTATCTTACTGCCTTTGTCGCATCTAGTTCCTCCAGATGTCCTTCAGTGACCACTGTTTACCTTGTTTGGCTTCGGGGATCAACGGCTCCGCGGCCCGGTCTCCTGGTTGATGGGGTTCTGGGAGTTCTTCTACTCCCCAAGCCCGGCCCGAGGCCATGCTCGACCTGTGAGAGTTTGGTCCACCAGGCTGTTGCTTGGAGCGGCCCGCAGGCCCACATACCCACTACAACCCGGTAAATCTTCCTGTAGGAAGAAGGTAATCTTCCCGGGCCCGGGATATGGTGACCCTGATTCACTACCCACGTGTTCCAGCCGCCGCTGCTGCTACGGGTCTTGATGCTTTTGTTCCTTCTCCCAGTCAGTACGGGAGCAGCAGGGGAGATAGGTAAGAATATTGATTGTTGACCAGACCACACACTAGAAGGTGAAGGGACGATGACGACGTTTCGGTCCGTCCTGGACCGAATCGACTTGAGAATGGTCCAGGACGGACCAAAACGTCGTCGTCCCTTCACCTTCTAGTGTGTGGTCTGGTCAACATACTTTAGTCACGTTATTGTGACTCATCGCCTGCATAGGTAGGAATATATAATTACAATAACTGAAAGATTACCACACAGCTAAAGCACTTCCGAGGATTCAAGTTCAAGTATGTTTATTGAGACAAGAAAGAAATACATCTCAAAGGGATAGAGTAGCTTAGGCTATTTCTACCCCCCTTATGGGGATTACCACGCAGCTTCCAGGGATCAACAGTCCCATGGCCCGGTATCCGACCAGTCCTCCCGCTAGGTCGTCTGGTCAACCTGGCTATTGGACGCGGCTGCTCGCAGCCTGACGTATGAGTCACAGCCTGGTTGATCAGGTATCAATTGGAGGTGTTTATCCAGTTCTCTCTTGAACACTGTGAGGGGTCGGCCAGTTATGC